GGTTCAATAAACCACTACAGGAGAGCATACAATTGGCTACATGTGTAACTTTTCTATATTACCTATTTAAGGAGTCTATCCAAAGGTTCTCCACCAATTGCCGTACCTAACACCTCTGCTTGGGTGTTACACTTTAAACCCTCTGAACCTGTAAACTGTATTAACATCACTGGTTATCTCTGATGTATTAGATTATCATCCTCAACCTTAAGACTAATTTATTCTCAAGGTAAACCTCTCAGAACCTTCTGTACCCATTTTTATAATTAACCTAGATATCGCTATAGTAGAACCAACACTTGCAGTTAGGGCTAACCATTAAACCGCTATGCCCTTATAGAGTTCACTTAGACCCCAGCATCTACTTCACAGCATAACCTCAGTACTTTAGTATACCCCTGCCTTTTGTTTAGCCTTTTTACCAAACTTCCAATTCAGATAGCCTGTGTAGGACTATAACCAGTCCATTAGTATATCGAGTCAGCCCGATATCCTTTTCTTCCAATTAGTTCTAGCAGCCTGGTTGGTAGTACTTCTGAGACCCCAACCTGAAGGTTCTTGCCCATCCAGCTACTACGACCAGGTACTATGACCTTGGTATTTGTTTCCCCAGGCTAGCCTTTACAGTAGGGCCATCAAAGATCCAGCTACCTCTCTACTTGGGTCTTTCCAAATGGACTTCTTGTTACCCAATTTTAACAGATTTACATAGTCACAAGAACTTATCTAGTGTTTGCACTGCCTGATTTTGTCAGTTTGCATTCCTCTGTGTAATGCCATACTTACACAGATGCCTCATGACCTGCCAATCATGCTAGTGTGACTGCCATTACAGGTATCCTAACCTAATCATTAGTAACAGTTGCTATAATATGAATATTACATAGGTGATTATCCAAATTTTTGCTGTCGATAAGATTTGAACACCCAACCTACCACTTGGAGGGTTGACAACCTGACCACTTTACTAGGTTGCCACACCCTAAAAATCTATATTTTAAAAATAAAAAAATTCAATTATAAATAATATTTAAAGTACTTAAGAGCAATTTTACTGACTTGTAATAACAATTAAGAAACAATGTTTTCAGGAATCTGTTGATGTGATTTATATTTTTTTATAGCAAATTCAGCAGTAGCAAGTAACAATCCTTTTCTGTAAGCATCTATATATCACCATGCTCTTCTTGCAAACTTACAGATTGTTATAATGTCTATAAAAGCAAGAGCTTCTGGTACAATATTTTGCAACCCTTGAAATGTGTAATTGCAATGACTTCTTTTATATTTTTTTATTGCATTTCAAAAATATTCGATATAGTTTAATTCCGGATGGAATTTAGGGTAAAAAATAATTTTATGATCTTGACTATATACAATGTCTTTAAGAACATTTTTTTGTTTTATAAAATCTGGCTGTCTTGCTAACTTCCTTATGTTACAACAAATCTTTTCTTCATCTTCTAAGCACTTAATACATTTATCTTTTAATTGTTGATCTCAAATATTCTTTTCTTTTATTACCCATTTTATTCTTTTCAGTTTTTCTTTTTTTTTTACATTTTTATAATCAAGTGAAAAAATCATTTCTTGAGATGTACTATTAGATAATTGACCAGGACGCATTTATGGTTGTTTGCCACTATATTTTACATTCATTCTGCTTGTTACTAATGCATCTTCCGCAAAAGCACCATGACTCAAACTATTCTCAAATGCAAATACAAAAATTATGCCTAGAAGTTCAATTTCCAAAACATCAATTGTTCGCTTAAATTGTTTAGTAAGCAACTGAACATTCCAATAATCATTATGGTTTACACCAACTTCAAATGTCTTTGTAATATATCTATTTGGAATTTTTGAGTAGGCTAAATGTTGCTCTACAGTTAAATGAACACATCCCAAAGGTTCATATAAAAATTCACTAACATGAATACATCTGCCTTATTCCTTTGAACGTAATTTTTGTTCACCTATTTGAAAAAAACATAAATAAATAATTAAAAATAAGTTTACCAAATAAATTAATCAGAAAAACACAAACCTTCAGGTCCTTATCCAGTTTTTTTATTATCATTAGCTACTAATATTGTCTTATCATATGTTATTATACAATGCAGTTTTTGATTAAGAGGAATATTTTTTTTAACTAATGTTAAATCATTCTCATCATATTCAATAAAGAGAGGTTCTAATTTAGCCATTATGAGTAAAAAAACTTCTTGTCAGTACCGTACTACATTCTTCTGTTCATGCCCATTTACATATACATTCTTTTTTCATTTTTTATAACTTCATCCTAACTTTTTAAGCCATTCTAATGTGGTCCTTTCACTTATAGTTGTTTTTTTTTCAATGCCTAAAGATGGAAAGACTTTGTTTTCTACAAATTCTTTTAGAACCTTAGGGTTCACACTAAACTTATTGCATTATAAATATAACATTATCTATTTAAAAATAGAATCTTTGATAAGCTACTAATAATTAGAAATTGCATTTAAAAATAAAAGAATTTATTTATTTTATTTTTTTTTTATCTTTATTGATATTCTTTCATCATCAATAAGACTTTCTATTTTTACATGCTTGTCACAATTCTCTTTTGGTAATTTTTGCCACCTCAATCACCCATTACCTTATGTATAAATATACTTTATTTTGTAAGCTCCTCAGCCTAATAACTCAGCAATCATTGCACTTGAATTTATTTTAGTCCAACCTTGATATCTCAAATACAAATATTGCAATGCAGCTTATAAATGAACCTTAGTTCCTTTATCAATTTGTTTACTGTTTTTTTCTAACATATTGTCTAATTTCTCAATTGCTTGTTTTATACAGACTTTATCATTATTCATATTTATTTCCACTAATTTAACTATTGAATCTACAGCATTATTAATCATTATTGTATCTTCATTCTCATCAATCACTATTGTATCTACAGCCTCATCAACCAAATTTGTCTTCATTAATTACACTGCTGCATCTGTAGCTAAAAATTTATAAATAGAAGTTGAAGCAACATTAAACCTTAAAGAATTGGTTAAAGATAAGTAGGAAGTAATAGATTTTGTGTTTTGTACTGCTTTTTTTAGTTCAGCTTTTTTTTGTCTTAATGTTTTTCCAGAATTACTATAATTATAAGTAGGTCTACCTACAACTTTTCAAGAATTATTATTTTTAGCAGCTATTAGTAAAACTTCAAAGTAACTATTAGCTTTTTCATCGATTTCTTCATCCACCCAAATATGATTATCAAGTTTTTCATCAATTGATTCATAATCCAATAAATCATTAGATTGATGCATTATTTTATTTTTTTTTAAATACGCATGCTCAGCTTCTGATTTTCTTGCAGCCTCAAGATGGTGTTTTCTTTTATTTGAAGAAGGCATGATTAATATAGGTTAAATCCAATAAAAATTAAAGCTGCAATCTCTTTACACAATTTTGTTATAATGTCTGGTGTTGTTTTTTTAAGAATTTATCAGAAGGTTTTTTTTTTCTTAGAAAAAAAAATAAGCTAGTCTACTTTATGACTTTATGACTTTATAAATATCAAAGATTTATAGATATATATAATAGATCTATTTTATGGCCTTATGAATACTAAGGCTTTCAGATCTATATATTGTGGGACCCAAGTTCATAGAGTTTGTGCTATGTCTTGCACTCACTTTATTATGGTATTTTGCTTCTTATTCTAACACTCATAATGATTTCAAGAAAATAAAGTATAAGTTCGATTTTACAGATTGAATCTTATCATTATTTATTCATTTGCTTTCATGCATTATTACATTACTTATCTATTACAATTGACTTTAAAATTCTATTGTCTTGAATAAACTTCTATATTGCACTCGCAATTATGTAGATTTAGCTAAATTATGATTTTACTCCTGCAATATTTAAAAAGAGCTAACTTGGTATTAAACTATATTTGACCAATCATATCCTAATCCTATGTAACCAAATTATGAAATTTAATTAGATAATTAATCAATCATATGCTTTGTAACATCCTGGAATTTTGGTCATGAAAGTTACATGATATCGGTTCTAGGCTTCTTGCACTATATAAAAAATAATTGTAAAGAAAAATGTCTATATAATGAAATAAGACTCATATTACTCTATAATAAATATATTTAGATTTTACAATATTAAAAGTTACTATTTATTAAATATTTTAGATCAAAAACTATAAAATAAATAATAAATAAAACTCTTTAAAGTTTAAACTTATATATTTTATAAAATTATTTCAAACTAGGGACCAATTCTGTAACTCTCTTCGTAGATCACTTGTACCAAATTTTGCTAAAAAACATTTAATTATTTCTTAAAATTTTACTAAATAAACCTTACTTGTACTCTTAAGTAAAGTTGTTGAGCTCACTTTTCTCCATCTAGGCGGCCAA